GTTTTACTATGCATACTTTATTGATAAATATTCAAGATTTGTGTGAATTTCATTTTTCCACACACAAGTTTAAGGTTTTTACAACTTTCAAAAGTAAAAAAAATTCAAATTGAACTCAGATTAGACACAATGTGAGATATTTGAGGACAGAGAATGGCATAAATTTTTTACTTCTAAGGATTTTTAAAGTTAGTGCAAACGAGAGCCACTACACATCATCTCATCACATTTTATACTCCGCAACATATTATTCTTCTGAAATGTTCATCAAATAGTATTGAAGAAGATGAGTAGTATGTTCAGCTAATATAGTGTATCATATGAATTTTGGATTGAGGTTGTCAATACCGCAATCTATTGAATAAATTTTACATTTTTTGATACAATCAACTTTTTGACATTGTTTGAAATGAGACACAAATGGATGGTTAATCATAACACTTTGAAAAGTTTTAATCATATAATTTGTACTCACATTCTAAAAACAATAAAAATACATTGAATATTATATCTAAAAAAATTGTTTTTTTATATTTGCTAATGATGTGAAACGTTATAAGCGATGGAATACATTCAATTAAAAAATTATTTTCAGTATGGATGTACTTTTCAATAAGTACAAATCATTAAAAGAGTAAGAGATTTCTGAGACTACTCACATTGACAAGGAAAAATGTTGTTGAAAGTAGATTGATTATTATGTGATTAATTATGTAACCTAAGTACAAGCTCTGATATTGATAGAGCAAAATTCTGAATGGAAGTAATTAGAAGATTATGTTATCAGATACCATACGATAGATTCAAGCAGAACGATATAGATGAAAATCATTGAATCAAATTAATAGAATTTTTGTAAGACATGAATTATGGATTAATTTATCCATTCTTGAAGATTGTGATAAATTCTTGAAGATATATAAAATGATGATGAAATTGCGTTGATTTGGAAGAAGTAAAACTTTCTTCCTAAAAAGAGTATCAAGATTCTATCAATAAACTTGAGTAGAATGATGCTATGGAGCATGAGAGATGTAGCTGATGTATAACAAGATTTGAAGTCTTGTTTATTTTTCAAGAAATCAAGCTTTGATTGATTCCAAGTGGATGTACAAGCTAAAAATTGAATGACGAAACAAAAATCTTCAAAGCTAAGTTGGTGGCAAGAGCTTTCACACAAGAGAAAGTTGTGGGTTATAACAAAATATCTTCATTTAGAACAAATTATCTTACAATTAGATTAGTATGTACATTTTCTGCAATATTTAGTTTGATTATAAATTAAATTGATGTAATTACTGCATTTTTCTATGGCTTTCTAGAGAAGAAAATCTACATGACACAACCGTTGGTTTTGAAGAGAAAGATTGATAAAAGTTGTTTTGCATATTGTTAAAATCATTATATGGATGGAGACAAACTACTTAGCAATAGGATGAGAGATCTAATGAGTTCATGAAAGCAAAAAAAATAATTTATGAAATGTGTGTGATTCTTTTGTATACATGAAGACAAAATACAATGAAATCTTTAAACGTATTATTATGATACTCCAGTTGAGTAACATGTTAAATTTGGCAAAAAATCAATTTGATGTCAATACATGCAAGAATCAATTGAAGTCTGAAGTTAAGATGAAGTATCTTAATAATGCCAAAAATATATTAGAAATAATTCTTTATAAGTATATGGGGAATATGACACTATGGTTGAATCAAGTCAAGTACGTTCAACATGTGCTTGACAAGTTTAACATGTATGATTCTAAAAGAGTATAAATACTTTGTCATCACATTTCAAACTTTTTTAGAACTCAAGATCCAACCAATGTCATTGAAGATGAAAAGATGTCATCAATTTTGTATGAAAAAAAATTGAACAAAATCCATGTATCTAATGATATGCACAAGGTTTGACATTGCTCTAGCTATGTACGATGTGAGCTAATACATATCAAATCTCAATTATAAATCTAATGGTGTGCACAAGTTCTGATATTGCTCTAGCTATGTACAAGGTGAGCGGATATTTGTCAAATCCATAAAGTGAATAGGAAAGCAATGATATAAATTCTAAGATAACTAAAGAGTACTAAGGATTATGATTTATTTGATGATAGTTTATTAGACATTGTCAAATCCTTGCTAGACTAATATTTGATCAAGATAATTCTTGTAGAAAAATTATATAGACTATGGAGGCTTATGTTTCCTTGACATGAGTTAAGGAGAGAGATTATTAAAATTAACTCATGTTAGAAGTTAAGAATTTGGGTGTGAACTACATTGATGAGAAACCCGTTCTAGGATTTGTTTTTGACTACTTTGGAGTGCGAGATCTAGCTTCATAGTATGAGCTAAATTCTCTATTGTTGTCTTACAATCGTGGAGGAGAGCATATGAATTTTAGCTAAGTTACATGTGGATAGCCTCCTTTAGTTCTATTAGGTATGCTCACTTATTCTATCGGGATTTGCTCTTTCTACATAAGTTTGAACCTCTTGGGCTTCTTATCCAAAGGAGAAGATATCAGAGCTAAGCAGATAGGGATTACCAAAACAAAGCTTTGTCCCCAGTTAGATGTCAACCTGCTATCAATATCTGCACCATTGCCATTTTTCTACTTCGGTAACTTCAAGAGAAAAGATGTATTTGTCGCCAATTCTAATAGTCCAAACATTCTCACATGCTTTGATTAAATAGAAACCTTTTTGACCTACTCGATGTGACTTGGACTGCTGGACAAATGTAGAACATCAACAGACTTCAGTCTTCTTATGAAGAAAGAGAAAATTAAACCGGGAGATGTTTCTCTTTTTCTCAATGAAAGAAAGACCAATGATAGTAACATGATTGAATTGATTCCGAAGTTTATTGGGGTGCGGGATGGTTCTCAGCGATTGTCTGAAGTTTGCTGTCATCCAATATCAAGCATCTTGAGCTGTGGCCAGTGGAGAAAGCTAGTCTTCAGTCTTTCTACTTTCTGAATCACTAAGAGTCACTATCTTGGACATTTCGTTCCACCCTCACTCTCTGGTTCGGATCGGTCCAACTGTCTGTCCACTTAACTCCTGGTAGAAATAAATGGTACCTCGCAGAGGGTCACACTTAGGGGCAGATGGTTGGTCGGGCTAACCCGTAGCTCTATCTGAAGGCCGAGCGCTTTCTAGTTTCTACTCGCAGCAGCTGCTCCTAGCATCCCCTTGACATTCTCAGAATAGCTCAACGACATTGAGAACAAGGTTCTAACTCGTACGTGGCCCCTGATCACTACACTACACTACAGTCCTCGCATTCCTACGGAAGCAGGAAATTTTGTATTTTTGCTAAATTCCCGTTCTTCTGTCAGGACCTGAGTTTGACCGACCTGTCGCTGCCACCACCCGCTGCCATCGCAAAAGTCTTCGTTGGGGTCTCAAGTGTGAAAGTCCAACACTCTCTTTTCCATTTCTTAATTAGTAAAAAAGAAACGGCGAGAGGCCGAGAAGTGTTTGAAAGTCAGAGACGGAGTAAGTCCTGTATTTGACAGGGTCTCGTATCCAGAATCCATGTGAACGTAAAATTGGTCCTTTGCAACTCTCTTCTCTTGAGTTAGCCAGCAATGTACGAGGTGATATAAGAAGTCGAGTCAACAATTCAATAAGCAAGAGATTGACCGAATTCGATGGACTAAGTCCAACCTCCTGCTTTCGAGAGGATCTTTGAGAGGTGGGATTCAGCGACAGTGTTGCGATGCTATATGTGTTGCACCCATGCACGTTATATTTTACACCTTATTCTTATTTTTTGTCTTCGAGCTCAGCTACATCCTCTGTGAGGTTTTCGTCCCTCCTCCACAATTATTTGTCAGATAAGCCGCACTGGGGGGAACACGGGGACAGCCGTCCTTTACGCCCTGTGGTAACATTACAGTAATGTATCAAGGATTGTAAAAATCTTCCTGCAGATATGCGACAGGTATCTGTCATTCTACTCTGGCATTGTTCTAGATTGAATTTTGAAGCTCTTTCTGAACATCCACTCCAAAACGTGCGTTTTTTAACATTACAGAAGGGAAGCAAGCCGTAGTAACGCACTTGTGAGACACTTTTGACCACATTCAGATTTCTGTCACTATTAGTGTCGTTTCAACCGCTTCAGTTGCTTACCTGTTCTGAATGATAACTGCATGAAATTACGAGTTGCCTTCCATTGTGACGATTACCCTTACCGTTGACCGTGCACCTACTATCGAGAGGAGATGCATGATTGCCTTACTACAAAAGCACTTGACGACCATCAACCAACAAGAGCTGGATGACAAAAAAAAGGATAAGCTAGAGGATTCCTATGCTTCGTGACTGCAACCTCTCCTTGACGTTGACCAAGAAGCTACTGTCGATAGGATGTGCGTGCTTGTCCTTAAAACAACAAGACATTACGACGGTAGCTGGATAACAAACTAGGATATGATGGAAATCGTGCGTTACTCCGTTAAAAGATTTAATTTGTTACCAACGAGACTAACTGCACAGGTCTTCTTCCTATCCTCTTGTGTATCTGACACACTACTTTTGCACCCGTGCTGACAGCATCGACGACATGAACTTAATATTCATCCTTCATAGGACATCATTGATAGGGATGCACGTCTTGGCTGGAAATATCACTGATATTTCTTGGAGCCACCTGTCCAGCCAAAGTAGTCACATTACAAACATTGAAATTCGCGTCCATGCTTCATACTGACACACCGACAAGGTGTGGAAAGAGCCAGAGAAAAAACCAACCTCAGTTGACCAAATAGACAGTGCACACGTTTCAGGAGAGTACTGTCTCAAAACGATGGTACGAATCCTAAGGAGACTCAGCCGAATGCGAAAGACCCTCCACAAACTGGCGCCGATCGAACACATCGAGATACCTTTCCAGCTCCATACTTAGAACATAGTGAGGAAGCCCAAATTACTCATTCAGAAACATGTCAAACACTAAGAGAGATAAAAAGGACAAAAGTAGTGTGCCTGAAATATGTCCTGAAGTGACTTTTCAGACTTGACCTCGTGTATAAACTTCTTCATAAAACATCACAACGGGTGGTGTTTAAGAGTTCGCTGTAAGTGGTGCAGCATTTGATTGACAGTTTGAGAACCAACTTTACACTCGTCGTCTGCACAGATATACATGTGGAAGAGAAGCAAACTCCTGGTCTTTGGCCACAACCAGCTAAGAAAGAATAGAACCAACGGGCTAGAAAAATCATCCTTCGAATGTGGCAAAAGTAAAAGTCTAGAACGCTTTGGACACCTTCTAACTTATATCAGATTGGAAAAGAAAATAACTCTAGAGCAAACAAAACCATGATCATGAATAAGGCCCGGCATCTTCAGGGAGTGTTGCTGGACATGAAGCCGAGGAAGTCTGTTGCTCGTTTGGGGTTGTGGCACTAAATAGATAAGTCCTTTCCAGATTCAAGGGCCTATTTCTGACCTCCGTAGTATCTGGGTGTAGTTTTGACTGAAAGCAACTGAACCTCCATGATGCTTCAAGTTAGGTCTTCATTCCGTTGTGACCAGCCATAACAGAGGATAGATTGTGATATATCAACTCTCTGTCTACTGCTGCGCCTGCCTGGGAACTCTAAATCGCATCCACTTTCCATGTAAGCTCTCCTTAATGATTATCTGGAGTATACAAGGCGAGAACAGTTACTACATCGTAAATCTCAACAGAAAGAAACAGCACCACAAGAAAAACTTGACAGTTCTCATATTTGTCAGGCATGATAAGCTTCAATTTTCCTCCGGGTATGAAGCCTACAATATATTACAAGCAAGCTCTGCAAATTCAAAAGTGCTTAGAGATATAACCTCTGAATTACGCTCCAGTTGCGTAAAGTCGAGTCCACTCCCTCGCTGTTACAGCCAACACAAAGGCCTCATAAGTGAACTTTCCTATAACTCGTGTCTAGCGTGTTCTGAACTCGGCATCCGGTAATCAGCATGTGTGGTTCTCTAGAACTATTGAACTCAAGGAGATGATGTAGAGAAGGCAAAAACAGATTCATGGACAGCGGATTTTGCCTAGACGCGACACTCCGACACTTCGTCAACTGCGGTTCTCAAGACATTCAATTTTCTTGATGAACATTATCAAGCGCAGGATGGACGATGTAGAAACCAAGATTACTCATTCGTGTGTGCATAGGATGTCGTGGCATCCACAAAACCAAAAAACAAAAGAAAAACATAAAGCCTGTGCCCTAGCGAAGCGGTGCTAATGTGAAGAAAGCAAACAAACTTATAAAGCCTGTAAACGATATAGCATGTCGCTAGCTTAAGCTGCATTGACTAAACCATTCCAGAACCATAAGTTGGCTACACGTGGACAACGGATAAATAGGTAACCAAAGACAGATTTTTCTCCAATTCATTTACTTGAATCAATTTGACACCCAAAATTGGAATATACGAGAAGAATTAGCGGACCGAGGCAGCCGTGGAGCTTCTTACCTGTTGCGACAGCCTGAGCTTCGTCAGTCTTCCAATGCTTAGCAATATTCTCAGCAAGAGGATCGTCTGGGTTGGGTGCACTTAGTAATGCCTGTATACTGTGAGATACAAAACAGAACCAACAGATGGTTCATCACTTTGACCAATAATGTCACATTTCCATAAGTACTAGTGGCAACATAGTAAGATCGCAAGAGAGAATTGATAGTTTTACTAAATCACCTGAGAAGAACAGTTCGAATTTGAAGTGCTGGACTCCACTTGTCCTTCAGGATATCAAGGCAGATTCGCCCCAACTGAAACAGAGCCAGACTGGAGCAGGTTAGTCACCAATCCGCGGCCTAACCAGTCCATATTCATCCTCCTCGAAAGGTCCTCTCGGAAACCCTAGATCGTAACAGATAACAATTTGGTAGCGGAACACACTACTTCTGCTGAATGAAGGACCAATGCTGCAGTTAGGTGAGGGGCAAACTGTTGAAAGGGCCACAATCATAGACTCTGGTGAAAGATACTATAATACTAATCAGCAATTTCCTCTGACCAACAAGTCTACAGCGCAAAGATACCAGGAGTTCTCCGATTGTTTCAAACCACGAAAGTCCCACTTATGATGGAAAACAATTAGTTCAGGGCTTGAAAAGGAGAGAAAAACAGCCGCAAACATTTAAAGGTTCTCGTGAGATTGAGAAAACATACCTTGTCAATATTTGGGTGATAGATCTTTGTCAAGAATCTCACCTGTTAACAAAGTTCAATGTATGAGCTTCTAACGACGATGAGAGTTCATCATTCTACATTTCCTGTTTACTTTTGAGTTCATTTCTTGTTTATTGACGATGACGCATGCTCAGTAATCACGTTTGAAGACCAAGACATGTACTAAAAACAAATGAAAAAAACTGGCTGTGAACATATTCTCTAACACCCAACCTCTTTTGGCAGTGATATTGAAGACAAGTACATGACAATTCTTCTCTGAGACCAATACAACTGGATAAAGAAGAAAAAGGTTGAACCCCGAAATCAAAGACCGAAAATTTCACTAAGATAATCTGCTTACCGCCTAATCATCCATAATAGTTATTGCTAACGTTTGAAGAATTATATAATGGTGTATATATCTACTACTGATATTTACTGATATACTCGACTCTCTACTGCGGCGTATGATCCAACGACATCATCATCAATGAGGGTGTATCTTGACAAATATTATGAGAACGGTATGAAGTACATTGGCTCCCTTGCTTCCCAAAATACAGTCTTTATCACGTAATCACAGTTGCAGAGCAACCCAAGCTGACAAAACGTAAGAAAACAAACGGAGAGTCCTAATGCATTTTGAGGTAAACCTGTACAAAGAGAAGAAAACTGTAACGTGTTATACCTAGTTACAGTCTCAACTGAACATTTGAGCAAGTCTTGCCCTAAAAGACTTGATTCCCCATGTGACCATAATAGAATGTATTAATATCGCAAATTAAAAGTAACTTAGAAGACAATATACGTGGGACACAAGCTCAGCAAGACTATGCAGATACATTAATGCACGAGAGACGTCTTAGGCCTTGAGTGAAATATCTTTAAGAAGCTGGTAAAAGACTAAAAATAAAAAAAAAGGAAACTGTGAAGTTACTACATTAGCTTGTGTTTGCCCCAAAGGAGTTGAACGTGACTATATACGTAACAAAATATCTTATCCTCTAGAAGCAGTGATTACTTATACAGTGTCAACAGAATTCACGGACTACTCTTAGAAGTGATACCTCCCTTTCGAACTAACTCCCAATACGTTGAAAGACAACACCAATCCAGAATACAATTTCCTTAACAAGACATCATGTAGGTTAACTCGACTATGATTTTCAGCATTATGAAATTCGAATTGCCCCCACAAAGCAGGGTGTGAGGAGACTCTGACTTTTTAGGCTCTAAAATTATGAGTTCAGCAAACATGGTAATTTTACATGGTCCGCTCGAACCACATTTGGCACCAAAACCTTATGTTCATAGTAAATGAGATTTGCTTTTACTCACAATATCAAGTTGAATACTAAGACTGAAGCACACGTGTTCTAAACCTCATACCTTAGGAGCAGCCATAGGATACTCTTCAGGTAAGAAGAGCTCCAACTTGAACACACCCCCTGTGAACGAGGAAAACACAGCCCGTTAAAATTAAGCTATAAACGACCGTATCGCGTAGTTACAACTATGCGGACAAATTTCCAGGCTATAGAAGGAGCCAACTAAGTACTCATGATATTGCGGGCACAAAGCAGATGAACATCGAAAACTTGTAACGGTGACGAGTAAACAAAACCAAAGAAAATTTGCTACAAATCATCTAATAGGTTTTCTGTAGTCAATATTATTATCGATTGTGCAGTGAGATTCAGCAACCACAATCAAAGGATACGCATTAACGATTTAACCAAAGGCTACCGTGAATACGTTTGCATGTCCCGTTCAACTTGTGACACGCCTACTGTCTGATCAATGATTATATTTCGTAACTCAATGCCGTATACATACGTCTGCTATTTTATTACACAGGTGAGCAATTTCAACAAGTCCATAGTATCTTTACGTCGGACAATGTAAAGCTAAGGAAGTTAAAAAATACGAAACTCAGGGTGATGCAGATCATTACAACAATTCTATCACCAATTCATCATCCTACTGACATCAATTCTATCATCCGACTGGACGATTCTATAACGGGTCCTCGTAGCCTAAAATCACATCGCAGATTACGCCCCAAGCGGAAAGGGACACTGATCTCTTACATTCTGTTTCACCAATAGCCGTCAAATTAACCTATTAGAGGATGAAGGCACACATTGTAGACCCAAATCCAAGCTTGAAGTGATGATTGAATCACATGTTGGGCGGCTACTTCTTCCAATGTTTCATCTACTCCGACAGAGAAAGTTGTCCTACTGGAGTATGATGCAGGACGTCTAAGATTTGAATCACAAAGACTATACGGAACAGAAAACGGCATGTCCCACAACGTTTCCTGCTCAAAGTTAGCAGCAAGGAACGATTTGGGTACTACTTGAACAGTTCCTCACGTTGCTTAAAGGGGTCCTCTTATACAACCTTCTCGGTAACGTACCCGCACTGAAGCATACTCCAACTAGATTTTTAACATAATTTGGACGAGGTTGGATACAACCCAACGCAGGCTTCATTGATAACCATCCAACCAAAGATAAGAGTACTCAACTGTGAGCAAGTAATGTCTTCCGGTTACTCACTAAAAAATTCAAACCTGGAACGCAAGGCTTGAGATATGCTCCAACAAAGAAACAGAAACGAAAACAAGGTGCTTGCAAGATAGTTGTCTTAGCCTTGTAACTGTAAAGAGAAAATCAGAAGAATGAGAAGTCAAATGTAGACAAGATAAAGGGCTAGATTTGTATAACGATGAGACTACAAAAACAGCAGACTACAAAAACAATGAAAACAAGTTGCAACCATTACGGTGTGCAGGTCATTAACATAAGACCATATACTCCCTGCCCTGGCTGAGCGGTGCTAGTGTGGCAATAAAGAGCAGTTGGGAAAGACGAAACAGAAGTACAAGGAACACAAGAAAAATACTGCTGCAGAGCGAAGAGGATCTCTCTACTGGTGGGACTTGTTCCATAAATGACAATAGTTCTCACTAGATGTCAAGCAAGAGAACCTCCACTAGCTCATCCGTCTCATAACTAAAAGCGCCCCAATTACGATGAGTAGGAAGAACGGAACTTTGGGCTTTAGATCAAGCCCAGTGACTACCCGTAACACCTTGAACACAATGAGCAGAGAGATGTTACAAAATCGTCTCGCCCTATTGTTACTGCGTTCTATCAAATAATGAACTCGAGAATGAATTCGCCATTCTTGCCTAACAGTGTGCAAGTTGAAGGTATGGTTCGCCATCTTTTTCTAGTTGTGATTAAAAGGCATGAGACCCACTTGATATTTCAGAACTATGGGCTGATCCCCAGATGATAGATAACCAAATAATAAGAAAAAAATAGCTCATAAACATTGCAGATACGTGAGGCTTTGCACTGATAACCTATTGCTTTGAAGAATTTGTCTAGCTCTTCATGCTCCAAATTTCTCAAATACACCCAACAAGTCTCCCTGATAGCCAGAGGCGGATGAACTTTAAACTCATCCCGTCCCATACAGCATACCAATCACAGAACACAGAATAACCTAAAAAAAGTCCAGATGATGTACAGCCTCAGATTCGTTAACAATTCCTGCAAACTTATTCTCAGTATACCATGTTTGAGCACGTGGTTATTTTGACTATAACTAGGCTTCAACCTTAAGACGTTTGATCAAAGAGATTGTAACCCTGAAAACAGAGTCACGTTCGACCTCCAATCCTTAATAGCAACGTTATAAGCTACTGACATAGCATGCTTGTTGAGGAAACATCAGGGAACTAAAGCCTTGAGAACTGCAAGACATGAATTCGTCTCACACCTTACTGCTAATCATATGGACTGATAAGATAAGAGTTCGTTCAGTGCCTCGTACTTTCCCAAGTAACAAAGAAGGGGACGATTTCTTGAATTAAACCTCCACAATTGATGTAAAAAACCCATAAGTTTCTTGGAAGTTAAGAGAAGCCGGCTAGAATCGGAATATTCATTTCCAGCAAACCATGAGCTTAGACTGGTCAAAGAAATACATACTGTGTTTCGATCTAGAGAGGCGATCATCAACTTAGGATGAGCCAATCGTCACACTTTTAAGCAACGTTCTTTAACCACAATCGACTAACTTTCGGACGCTTATGCTTCCAACTGCGAGTTGCTGATATTAGTTTTAGACGTCATCAACCAACATCAAACATCATTCAACACTATAAACTCGAAATTGACTTCTCACCTTCATATGGAGATTGTGTCGGGCCCAAAATCATGACATTGAAGTAACGCAGGTTCTCCTCCGAAGGTGACGCACTTATGCCCGGTGCTGATGTTGAAAAAGTAAAAATAATAAAGTGTCAAATGACTACACGAGAGCACAATCTAGATGGTAAATATTGACAATCTCCGAACTTTCTCGTCACTGGACTATGAAAACTTGATCTCTATGGTCCAATACACCTTACGAGCTGCTGCAGGCGTCGACTCCACAATCTGTTTGGTAGAGATGAAGAGCACATTATGTGATACCAATTGTGATAGGAAATCGAAAGTCTAGGAAGAACAAATGGGGCTGTTGTCTACACTAAAAGAAGAAGAAAAAAGTCAATACCTGGTTCACTTAGCAATCGCTGCGTTTCCTGCAGTTCGAAAATTCAACGAACAGCACACCTCGTCGATCAGTAGGCGCCATCTTGCCTCAAACAAGCTGAGTTCATGACTAATACTGACAAGAGGGAAGCACTTTACTTGATAGGCAATTCATCACATGATCACAAAACGGGTGAGAGCCCGCAATTGGGAAACAGTCAAAACCGCAGTTGGTCAGGTCGGCCGAAAAACCACCACACCTTTATGATCCTGCGAGGTAGATTGCTATTGGCGGTGGTTCCCGACATGTTGCAGTGTAACGCCAAGGTCGCCCCGGAACCCAACCCGAAACGCTAATCTTCTCCCGCCTCTTGTCCAAAGATCCTCGCTCTCAACCCTCGCCCCAGAAGCAAGGCAGCGCGCCAGCCACTCCCTGTCACTCTCCTTCACCTAGGCGGCGGCAGCAGCAGCAGCAGCAACAGCAATACCACCAAAGGCACCTCGCCCTTCCTCTGCCACCACCGGTCGAACCGTCTCGTCCTGCTCTCTGTCTCCCTTCCTTCCTCTCTCGTGCTGCTCGGAATCAATCAATCAATCAACCAACCAACCAACCAACCCGCCCACCCGTACTGCTCGTCTCACCCCCTGGCAGATCCCGCAGCAAAATCCTTCGCTTCTGCAGCCGATCCAATCTTGAGGAATCTAGCTCCCGACCGCTTCAATTTCGCCCAGCACTAGAGCACTAGGCCCGACACCAGCACCAGCTACAACAGTGTTGCAACGACACCCGCAACAGCATCAACAGAGCGCAAGAACGAGGCTTCCAGACTCCCTCATGAGCCTTTGTCCTGCCCTCGCTCCCTCCCCCTCCCCCTCCCCTCCCCTCCCCTCCCCTTCCTTCGTTGGTTCCTTCCTTCCTTCCTGTCCCCTCCTCCCTCTCTCTCTCTCTCTCTGCTCACTCCCTCGCTCCCCTTCCTTCTCTCGCTCTCTCTCTCTCTCTGTCTCACTGTGGCCCTCCACTACTTTTGCTTGTTTATTAGTTTAGGGCAAACGGACGCTTCTTTCGTTCCCTGCCCCCTTCCCCCTTCCTCGCACGACCTTCACAATGTCGTATCCCTATTTTACCTCCGTGCTCTCGCGTCTATGTTTCCCTCTTCTTATTCCCCCATTTCTCCTATTTCCCCATTTCCCCTATTTCCCTATTTCGTTTGACTGCAACAGCGCCTTGGAATTTCTGTAGCTCCTCGGCGGATTTTATTTCTCTTCTTTGTACGTCGTGGGGGAGCTTCTGTGGGGTGATCGCCGGATGCTCCAAACTCCGAAACTCCTCCTCCTCCTCCTGCTAAACTTCCAGCCAAATTGGCGAAACTGTTAGCCAAAGGTGGAACATGGACCACTCTGCGACGGTCGATCATTTAGAGACGCCGAGCGCGTTTTAATTATTTGCTGCGGAGAAGAGTTTTCTGTGAGACAGTCGATTATATAATCCGGAGGTGAAGTGATGAGGGCCCCAGTGTGTGCCTTTAAGTTCCACCATTTGGCTCTGGTGGGCATTCTCCGACTGTCGATCTTTTGAAGAGCCTGAGCATTTTCTTAGTACTACTTCCAAGGTACAGTGCTTCGATAAAGAGAAGAGTTTCTCCATGAGATTAAGAATAATTTAATAAGTGAGTGAAGTAATGATGACCTTTGCGTACTTCAAGTGGTTTTTTCCCCTTCTATTTGTATTTATGCAGCAGTCATGCGGACTGCAGAAATGAAGATGTCGTGGGCGAGGAGATTTAGCTTTTTTACGAGAGTAACTGTTATTTCCTGTCAGTCAGTTCGCCATGATCCACTTGATTCTTCCTTATCGTTTATGTTTGCCTGGCCAGCCTAAGGAGCAGTTTTGCTAATTTGGCCCCTATTATCTTTTCGGAAAGTGTTCCTTGTCCTTACTGTGTCATGAAGTCTCCGCGTTCTCTCCCCGGAACCGCATGTACATCGATTATCATGACTCGAAGGACCGTCAGGCGTGATCTGCATGAAAATGCATTTCTCTTTGCTTCTTTCTTCTGCTGCAAGCAGCTGTGATTATAACTCGAAAGATAAACATCTATTCGGGAGAGGAGCGAGCACCTGCACACGGAGGGTGTGGATTCCTGATTATCTGAAGCTTATGGTTGTTAGCTTAACGAACTGACCAAGTCGAGACCTACCAGTCGTAGACAGCGAGGTTTCTAATGGTTTCTTCTATGCTTGAAGGGTTTATCTTCCGCCTTAGAAGACTGTGACACCACTGAGTATATGTGTTTATAAATCTTGCCATATGATTCTTGCCATATGATTCTTGCCATCCACCCGTCCAGAATTTCAACTTCGTCCAAGAAGTGACACGTCTAGAGATTTACAGAATACTTACTGTCCAACACGATAAGAGTTTCAGCCTGCGCAGAAGTTCACCTTCATGTTGATGGTTTATTTTGGATCATATCAAGTTCCACGCATGCCCCTTGATTCCTGAAAGAATAGAATCGATTGTTTGAAATGGTACAACAACGGCTTACAATATCCCTTGAAAGGAAAAGAGTAAATCTCAAATCAAAGAAATAAGTTCAATGCAAGTAGAAATCAGCTGATACTTATCATCTCGACTAAAAATGAGCGGTATAGAAGATTAATATAATAAAATGGAGAATTCAGTTTCAATGATCCATACGCATTATACAATGTGAACAACTTACGCGAGTATATTATCATCCAAAAATTCATGGAAAATGAAATTTAGGATTAGGATAAATAGATGAATAACATAATAATGATTCTTATTTTCTTTTGAGAAGAATTTTAATTCTGTTCATAGTTGCAAATCCAACTAGATTCTTTTTTCAGTTGTATACTTCATATATATGTAAAAAATAATTTCATGATTATGTTCAAAAAAGATAATTATTCTTTACAAGAGATAAGATCATTTTCTCATACTCTTCTACTGGAAATCCAATTTTTTATGAAATTTAATTTTCAATATAAATGAAGGTATGTATATATGTATATTTTTATAGCGGCTGATTTGCAGGCCTCTTCAAATATGGCATTGGCGGCGCTAATGCCAATTTTGTCATAAATAATATTTGCGACATGCCATAAATAAAAATGACAGTTTTAGTTGAGAGTTTCTTGAGTTGACGGTTCCTCTTGTCTGTTACGGTTAAAGAAAACAGTAAGTCTTGAGTGGTGGAAACGAGCGACAGCTGCTCTGCCCGTTGCTGTTGAATGAGCAACATCAACTCTTCAGCGTGGAAAAGAACGACAATCTGAAGAATTCTTCTCAAGCCACAGAGAAGCCAAAGAGAAGAAGTGAGTCGAGTTCACTACAGCTATCGAAGAGATATGGCGTTCATTTTTGTTGTTGAAGAACTGCTGTCAATGATATGTCATCAAAGAAACTCAAAAATCCATTCGAGTATGGATTAAAGATTTTGACGCGGTATCCGTTGTCAAGTGTCGTCACATCTGTCGTGCGAATACATATCGTCATACATTCTACATCACTGACATGTTACTCACATACACATACGCACACATAAAGCGCGAAAGAGTACGCACTCAAATGTCACAACTTCAATTTCTCGTACTTACTATATTTAGATGTTGAGATAGGGTTTCAGGTCTCGAGGAGTACAGAATCGGAGATGGCTCAAAATTACATGACACATCAGTTTTATGTCGTTTCTGTCAGATATGGGCCGTGAACAAAAGATCGGCTAGAAGCACAAGTCGGCTAGGACCACAAAGTATTTTAGAGTTTATTTACCAGAATTGCAACCACAACATCTCAAGAGCCAACACTTGACAAAGTGGAGTGAATACTGTTCTCTGTCAGTAGAAGCAAAGTCAAGTTTCTTTTATGATACTATTTTAGTGAATACTATGCATGCTCATTTTGTTAGATCATGAGATGAGCTATATTTTCATATAAAAGTAAACATCATCGATATAATTTTGCGTATACTTCTATTTGATACTAAAGCTGAGTACATTTGTATTGATCGTGCGTTGAGATTTTTTGAGCCAATCAAATCTGATAGTGTGATTGTAGGATATCAAGTTCATATCAAGTTTTTCAAGCTTGTTATTGAGATCGTTGGTCTTGGCTCGTCGTTTAGAATAACAACGCATCAAGTGGAGTGTGCACGTGAAGAATTTACTCTCGGTTATCTTGGCGGATACAATGAATCAAAAGTATCATTGTTTGTTCGGGTTGATGTTGTTGTCTACCTACAAAAACTCATTAAATTACTTGCTAATTGTTTGATTTTTTCAATCGCATTTGATTCATTGAGTGAGGTTTGTTGTAGGAACTAGATTGTATTGTTTTCATTTATATTGTCTTTCTCTTTACGGACCAAACACAGATGACAATTTGTTCGAGACGTTCGAGAAAGCTATGGATGCAAGTTGTCCATCTTGGGTATACACACTCTTATCGACATGCTCTAATGGTGCCAGAAATATGATAGTTCAAGTACGTGGAATAGTGATTCGTGTTTTCTCTCAAGTTGAACGAGAAGGTTGTTACTTGATTTGATTTTGGTGTGGTGCACACCAACTTGATCTTGTAGTTCAAAATGTTATTTCAGATTATCTCAACATTGAATTTTACACGACGTTAACTGCCATCATCAGATACCTTCATCGACAACAAAATTTGATCAATGAATGCGAGCTAAGTGTTCAAAGTTTGCAACTACTCGCTGGTTATTGTTAGGGAAAGTATTACCTTGATTTTCAACTCATCATTGCCGTATTGTTGAATGCATAGACTAGAAAAATTTTGATTTGAAACCAACTGTCATGTGATGGATTGCTCTAATTTTATTGATCCCAATAGTTATAGCAATTTACATTATGTTTAAAACCTTGTAGCATTCTACGTTGTTGGTCACACAACAGGAAATTGCTTTTTGTAGATTCATTTCTTGTCTTTGGGATGTGACAGTAATGGAAGATACACTCTCTGAATTATTATTTAAATAACAAGATGAAAATAACTTGTAATCTAACAGTTTTACAGATCTGACAAGAATGTTGTCATGCATTTTGTTCAAGGCTGTGGTTCGTTCATTGTTATGTCATTCGATAGCTTGTATCAAGTTGAGAAGGATGTTGTGATTTGTTAAGTTGAAAATCTAATAGTTAGTCTTGCAGCTGGAATACATTCAATTGAGCCATAATGGAATAGTAACAATGCACTAGAATCAACTTTACTCCAAGTCTTCCTCGAGAGTTTGTGACCATGCCTGCATCAAGCTTTGTGTACCTAATCATTAGATTTTGATCTCGACTTGAGAAGAAACTCATCAACGAGTATATTTACAGCTTGGAACGAGAATACAATGAACTCAGGACTGCTTATCAAAGAGAAGATATACTTCGTGACAATGTGGATCAAATGCCGGAATTTGTAGATTTTCATGAAGCATGGAGTGCTCTTGAACTTAGATTTCCCAAAGTGTGCACATTTGCTGGAGGATTTGCTAGTTTATATCCTTGTACAACGCGTGTGGAGAGTGATTTTTTCGTCATTAGTTGGAAGAAAGACGATTACAGATCGTCCTTAATGGATCTGTCACTCAATGGCATCATGTGCTGTAAACAATTTAAGGAAATTCCAACAGTTTGATACAGTGATCATATTTGTCAAATATAAAATTTTTGTGATGTCATAATAGAGTAATTTATGACAAATTTGGCAAATGTCAAGTTTGCAAATGCCTGTTGATTTGTGATTGAAATTTAAATTTTGAAAGCAGGTTCATATATGCATAATTATTATTAAATTTACAATGTGCAGTAACATATCGACGTATAGCATAATTTTAACTCATTTTATGAAAACATATATATCCATAGTGACACATATACAATTCTTTCTATATATTCTAAAATCACATATATAATTTGAAATATTTGAATCTAAATTAACATAAAATATATTAATGTAAATTTCAAACAATAAATTGAAATTTTCATGGATAATTATAATTATTGTGTGCATCAAAATCACACGTATAATTTGAAATATTTGGATCTAAATCAACATTAAATATAACATTGTACATTTAAAACAATAAATCAAAATTTGCATGGATAATTACAATTATTTGTGTGCATCAAAGTGAAAATTAAATCAACAATGATTGTAAAATCTTTACAATCGTTGTTGATTTATGTTGTTGAACATTGAACAGCACAAAAGTAGTACTTACTTCCTAGAATAACTTCAAAGAGTATCATTTTCATAACTCATCCATTTTGAAATAATTGAATTTTGTTCTTGTTAAAAAAATTATATTTTCAAACAGTTCACTTTATGTTATATTTTTTTAAAGTTTTAAACATTCTAAAAATAAGTCACAGTTAATTCATTTCAGTTTATAATTTATATCATAGTTCAAATTATATTGTTTCACTATGATGATTTCGATTTAAAAAAAAATATGAAATAACACTCTAGCATATGTTTCAGAACTATGTCTGTACATTTTTTGATTTATTAATAATTAACTGCATAATAACATATTGTTAGGTACAACGATGCATCCAATATTTGTTGTCAATAATTTTAGCATTCAGATTGCAACTTTTTGTTATATTAATATATTCCATAAAATGTAAGTAGAAATTGAAGTGATTGTGAGATAGATGAAGATCAGAATTCACTAAAATAATACAACCAAGTCAAAATTAGCTGATAAATACATTCTCAATTTTCACAAAATACTTTTTAAGCTAAAAAATGATTTTCAAATTGTATTATGACTTTTTATAATTTGTGCAGATTACAAGCTCATCCAAATTTTCTATCAACAATCATCCTTTTTTATTATGACAAAATAATATGAGACAATGAAGATGTCTAATAACAACTACAAACCATATAATAATATAGTTCACAAAAATTGATTCTACATTTCGATACGTGTAATTAGATTGCATGTGATAGATGCAGATTGATTCATTGATGCATATCTAAATGTTTAAAATTTTGTAGTAAAAAACTTATTACTTGCCCGTGAAAAATATTGTGAATATAATACTAACAACTATACACAAGGAGTTAAAAATGTCTGAATAAATTCAATCTTGTAAAGTTTCAAATAGCGAATCAAATGCTATGACTGAAGAAAATTTAAGATCTTGTTTTACAACATGTAAGATAATTACAAATAACTGAATACAAACAACAAGGTTAAGATCACTTAATATATTTTCATCAATAAATATGATGAATCTTCTAGGTACTACAATATCAGCTATTGCTCTTTTTCCTAATGAAAACATTTGATTTGATAAATATCAGCTAACATGCTAAAAAAGTCAAATTCATGCTTCCTAGTATGATATTCTTTTCACAAACATGTGGACACAAGCATAGTTAGTTCCATATTAATCTAAGCATAATAAATGAAAGATCTACATGCCCACGAATTTTGGAATCCTGAGTTTATACATATTAAAAAATATAAGTAATCATACCCTCATGCAATGTAAATCGTGTCATGTGCAGTATTTACAATCTCCATATTTTCAAGTATAATTTGATCTTTTATAACCAAATATAAAATTGACCTATATAGAGTCCACTGGAAGACATGTCAAGAATAATCTGTGTCTGTTAGGCAACCTCTCCCATAATACTTAATACGAAATATCTGATGACATCTTGCGTAGTTATATTTCTCATTCCAAGAGAAATGTCATATGAATATTTACTACATCTGAATTAAGTCAATCGATGTGCAAACAGATGGTTATAAACTACTACTTCTAAAGCAAAACAATCAATGTGCGAATGGATAGTTTAAGCCATGGTGTGATAAGTAAGAGTTGGAGTAATAATGTAAACTTCCATGAACATACAACTTTGCTAGAACAACATCTCGAACGAGACGTAGGAGTGTATGTTAAAATTGTTATATCAAACTCTACTAGACAACTCTCCTTTATTTGATTAACAACAAATACTTACACTCGTTATCGCTTGATGTTAACAAGAATCAAGAATCTGGTTAGAGGAAAATTGCATAATCTCCCTCGCCGCATTATAAACGCGGTAAGAAAATGTAACGCGTGAATATTTTTTCAATGTATTAAATGATTTTTGGCCTCAAGCAACGCACTTCAAATCGCACCGAATCTCAAACAGGAAAAATAAATACGAGGTTTACGTCAAGAAGGAGACTTGTAAAAAACGGCAGATGACGGGGAAGCACAGAAGGCATTGGACATGACGAGAGGATACGGCCCCAAGGCCCGAGAACAAGGAGACTCAACGAAGACACTTGGCTTCCTTCGTGAATCTTCAGCAAGAGCGTTGTATTAATAGAATAACGAGCTGGATAAGAAAACTTGCATTGCCCGCTATGTTATGGCGATCGACGAGGTCGCACAGGATCGTCTGACTCAGAGCTAGGCACAGATTTGGTCTTGTGTGGCAGCCAGGACACCACTTGTCAGGTCGAACATTGTACGTAGGGCTCCCGTCTCGGCAATAAATCCCCTTCCTTCTGCTACATTCAAGGCGGACACTCTGCTGTTTGGGTTTCCACTTCATCCGGTTTCCTTGAAGCTGTCGTTGCTCCGAAGAGAAAGGTCGGTTCTTTTCTGGACAGATCTTCTGTCAATTGTTGGAGAGAGAGAGAGTAGCTTTAGATTTTATGGTTAGGTTTTGCCTAGTGGAACTCATATCGGGGAGGAATCTTGGCTAACCTGAGAGGGAGGGGTGAGATTGATGTCCCAATTTAGCTATGGATTTCGTGTAGAGGAATATGCTTTAGTTTTATATGAAGCTCTTCGAATGCATTTTCAGTGAATTCCGTAAATTCGGTGGGAAGTGATGTGCTTTCATGTTGAGCAGCGAGCTGAGGCATGTGCTTGATATCGATGCCTCATCTATCGATGTCAACTCCACGGGTCCTATAAGTGGAGATTATCCGGGAGTTGTATCATTTGACAGTCAACCCAGTTCACCCGAGGAGATCCTCGGGTGGAAGATGCAATCTGCTTCGTTCATCTGGTTTCACTTAGAGGATCGGAATGTCTTTGGAGTTTTTTGATTGCTAATGTTTTTGGGCTGCTGGTTGGGTTTCTTGCAGATTCTGACTTAAATTTTGATGTGCGGTACGCGAAAGATGGATCAGAAGGTCGTACTGCCTTTGTGTTTGCTGCTCGCCATCTGCACCATCCATGCAGCGGCTTTTCCTGCGCTAGATACTCCGGAGTATACTGTGTTGAAGGAAGAAGGTGATTTTGAAGTCCGTTTGTACAATGAGAGTGTGTGGGCTGTTGCCATGGTAGACGATTTTTCATTTGTGCATGCAACACAGGCTGGATTCCACAGGTAATTCTCCCCTCCAAGTCGACGGTTTGATTATGTCGGGAAGCAAATCTCGTAATTCGAATTAAGTGCTTGAATCGTTTTGCTTTATCAATGACGTCTGATTTTAAGTGAGGTCAAGGAGTTTAGGAATATGCACACAGGAAGTCGCCGTTTTTGTTCGTCTCTCATTCTCTGAAACTAGCGTAAATCCTAGTGATATCTTTCTTTATTTCGTGTGGAGTTCGATATTTCGTAGTTCAATTCCATTTGAAAACTTGAACGATGGAAATGAACATCTCGTCTAATGAACATCACGAAGGACTGCTTCCCACGAGCGAGCCAAGCGCTCCACGTGCAGTGCCCTACAAGTATACATGAAACCAAACGCCTGATCTCCTCGCGAATGAAACCATGAATGTGGGTTTACATCATTCGATGTACAGTTTAATTCAAAGCTCTTTTCTCATACAGTCTCATTTTGCATGACTTTGACACCCAACTGTGGAATGCGTGGTCGATGTATATCAGGAGAGTAGAATTTCTGACTTAGTCTTTGTTCTTGTCAATGCCTTATGCAGGCTCTTTGAGTATATCGAAGGTGGCAATCACAACTGGACAAGAGTGCCGATGACATCCCCCGTGGTGACAGGGATTGTTCCCTCCGCTGGGCCGTTCTGTTCGTCTGCCTTTGCCGTGCGGTTTTACGTTCCTCCGAAGTTTCACAAGGCGCCGCCAACTCCTCTCGAGGAACTTGACCTCACTTTCGAGCGCTGGGGCAAGCGAACCGTTGCAGTGAGGACATTCTCCGGATATGCAATGGACTTCAACGTGGCTCAAGAGGCTGAGAAGCTCTCTATCAGCTTGGGAAGCTCAGATTTTGCCAAGGATGCTACTTATCCTATCGAGGGGCTGGATTCTTACGCCATTGCTCAGTACAGCAGTCCATTTCAGATTTTCAATCGCAAGAACGAAGTGTGGGTCAACATCAAGTTGGATAAGTCGGCTGAGAGTCTGAGTGCAAAGTAGATAAAGCCACTCGTAGAGCGGTCTTCGCGAAGGTGGAACATGCCGTGTACTATAACTTTTGTCAATACGATACGAGACAACGACTTCTGATGCAAAGTGAGACAGTCAGTCCATGTAGGCGAGTAAGTGCTGGACTCATCCCTTAGGAGAATGGGCGCCTGCGTGCATTAAAAGCCAACAAATGTTAGTTTCGAAACATAATATATAGATGAGGACTTTAGCAAACTGGTCTTCGGTACCAATGTGCGTACACTCCGTATGACTAGTGTGCATTGGAGTTACCGGTTGTGCTATGGATCATGAGTGGGGAATAGTATCCTTGGTTTTTCATGATTTGCAGGTAGAACCGCATGCAAGATTAAATTTGTGTGGGTGAGAACTGTTTTCAAATTGAGACGGAAGGAATCTTTTGTGTCCACAAATACCACCAGAAACTTAAAAGATGTTCCTCATATTCATACTGTGTGTCAAGGGGTAATATACATGTCACTGAGAATGTCTCTCTGAGTTGTACGATATGTTTGTTGGTCTATCGAGCTTACCTGCCACCTGTACAGGGAATATATTGTCTCCCAGATGTATGGGCAAACTTGTCACCGCCCCTCTGCATCTTTCGTTGACAAGAAGCTGAGTTCAGTACGGACGTTGATAGAAAATATTCACTGGTAATACTCTTCTTATCCTGGTGGCAAATACGAATTTCACAATTCACTTTTGTTTCAATCGATGCGTCTCACTAGTGAGGCATATTTTAATACAAGCAGAACATAGAGACTGACATTCCGGAAGATGTGTGCATACTTCTGTCCCGAGGATCCTTTTAAATGACTCGTGTTGTCTTCATTCTTATGCACTCAGATGAATCTTGACTACATTACTGAAGTCCTCTGGGATTTTAATAAATTCGATCATTCAACTTGATGCCCGCTTCGCACACCGCCAACATGTGGAGTGTGTGCATAGAGTTTCCACAAGACCAAACTTTGAGTAGGAAGCCAAGGCAAAAAAATTTTACTACATAAAATCCTACAGAGAGTGGCAACAACGCCACAGACAAATTGGGAGAGTGAGTACTGTCAGGCTCCAATACTACTCGATGAGAAAATGTGGGTTACAGTAAAACAGCAGTCTGGGAAGGTAAGAGTGTAGTTTGTTACAAATATAATACAATTCTACAACAGTCTATCTCAGTTCTACGCCAAGTCCCAATCTAGCAGAAGAGGTTCTGCATGAAGGTACCACTACTCTGCACAATGAGGCCCTCATGCGAGATGGTGAGTTGCCAGCAGATTGTCGATAACTGTACATGCTGACGGGAGGGGGAGCCAGAGCGCAGGCTCCACCCAACGACGTTTTCTCCCTGTGAAGAAACTGAGAGATTTAAATGCTTTCCTGCTTACCCTACGCAAGCCACAAACTTCCTTCGCCAGTGGAGGATCTTCAGAACCTATCGGTTCCGCCAAGCCCCCTCATTAATTTGTCAAAACTGCGTATAATCCAACGCTGTTTGGATCAGAATCCGATACTCCGCTGATAACGCAAATTGGTGCTCCGCTTCACCTCAAGGCACCAGCGCTGAACTTCGCTTCAGCTACGTGGGCACAAAAATGTCAGACATCACGTGTCCAAACACGAAGACTGAGATTGAGCGCCTGACTGTCTTCCGGGCCAAGCACCTCAGGGTTTCGGCTGAACTGAGCTCGATGTGAAATTGTCATTGCCCAGCGGTGGCAAGAGGTCGTAAACAGGTGACAGAACCGGTCCCCATGAAGGCGGTGGCGCAATGAATGAGCCGTTGCACTTTCCTAAGACCGAATGGCCCTGAACGCAAGCGTGACCAGCTTTCTTCATCCAGCCGAAGCCGAAGAGAACGGTGAGAACCACCGCCACCACGATCAAGCAAGAGCACAGCTTGCAGATTTTCCCCATGAAGCACATGATTTCTGCTGACAAATGCGATCCTGGAGAACAATGTGTCGATGACCACTGTCTGAACCAACAATGTGCACGGTGAGGCTTCCGAATTCTCGCTCGGAAGTTCAGACTTCACCCCTCGCAACCTCTGCTTACTGCTCCTGTCTTGCTTGCCCCAACGCCGAGACTCGGCTTTAGACCCGCATCCGGAGCTCGCACGACAGAGCCTCCACTCCGTCTCGAGTCCAGCTTTTCAAAGTCATCCGTGTCTGCGCCCGTACGTCGCAAGACAAGTCGAACTGCAAGCACGCCAAGACGTGGGCCCAATCAGACACACAACCATGTACCGAACCCGAACCCGAACAAAGCACTCGCGACAGCAACAAAGCACACAACACGGGCAACTTGTGGGCAATTTCACTTCACCATCGCCAGGGCCTAACAGCTCCCTTTCGCTTTTAGTTCGACCACATGCAACGTCGTCATAAATTCTACATGACCATCCTCCACGGCGAGAAACACACTGCCATCAGAAACGATCACTTACCCCACCACCAACTTCGATAGATCGCCGAAGAAAATCCGACCGATCACAGATGCGTACACCTCGATGGCACGCGCAGCCGGGGATGACCGAATCGAGAGCGAGCTGAGCTGAGCAGAGCACGAGCACGAGCGGCGAAGACTTCTGAGCTCGTGTGCATGGGAGACGACGATGCGAGTGAGGAGCAGGAGCCCTCGAGGAGACCCGACGGGAAGTCCACCACAACGGTAACCCGAGCAGCCTCCTGCCAGAGAGACGTTGGCCAACGGGGCTGCCGGGCCGAGCCGAGCCGAGCCGCGCGGGCGGGCGGGCGGGGGAGACAGCGGGTTCTGATGCGTTGCTACGAGCCCGTCGTGAATGCATAAAATGCCGAGTCCCGTCCGCAGGAGGACGGAGCTTCCGTCGTCTCTCCCGTCCTTCGGTTGGCTCCCTCCGCTCTGCTCTGCTCTACTCTACTCTGCTCGATGGGTCTCAGCAGGCATGGCTTGCTGGCTGGCAGCCATGCCTCTGCCAGTTCTTCGGATCTGCTGCTTTTCGGACTCTGCCTGAGGGGCTCGACGTTCGAGGCGCTCAGATTCTGCCCCTTCCCCCCCACCACTTCCCCACTCTGAACGATAATATCGCATCGCGATTTGTACTCCTTCCTTGCATGCGGGAAGTTCCGGTAATTTTTCTCACCTACCACGAGCGAATTCGATATCCTGTCGACCACTCGGAGAAATACAAGGCCTGACAAAATTAGCCCTTTCCGGAACCCTTGTTCGGTTGACGGAGCTGTAGTCAGGTTACTGGCCTGTGACTGGGTTGGCTTTGAAGGGAGACGTAGGATAATTCTTCAAGGTAATGTCGTGCCGTCGTTTTTTTCAGTCTCTGGGTGTCGAAAGCCGACCGGGAACCGGGTGATCGCGAAAATGGACACCGGATCGTTTGACTCAGCCCCTCTTTGTACCATCTCCGCGCGCTGACAACATCAGGTTAATGTAACCTATGGTCACGGCTTCTGCTAAGGTTGGTGTGAAAAGCGCCAAGAGTGGTCCTGTATCAGGATTTTTGTTTGCCTCTGAAAATTTTGTTCTCCTCGAAGATTGTCTAAAAGATAATATTATGTGACTGTAGTATAGGTCTGTTGGCAGGCTATTACGTAGTCTAAGAATTCTAACTTTGTCAGATAAGTTTTGGCCTAGAAGTCTGTGAAAATAATGAACTGTCTGTTGCCCATGCATATCATGTTGTGTAATTAATAACTTATTCAAGTCTAGCCAAGTTCTCCTCCCATCCTCTGTACTTCATCTATGTCCAGCATCTGCGCATTTCCGTACCCTGTCAGTTACTTTCTACCCTTTCTAAGGGTTCCTTTTATGTAGTAATTTAGCAAGTAGGGTGCAATGTGGATAAAATTAAGTACATATATATACACACACTTTTAAGGTTGAGATAAACCTATCTAAATTTTCCCAATATATTCATATAATTTAAAAAATATGATTTAATTAAAGAGAAAACTCAGAACCATCGAACCTTCGAAAACCGGTGCAAATCTATTGACTCTATCCGTAAAACACAACGATGCCATTCACATCTACTCACCACAAAAGGCAGCCAAGAGCAGGCTTGGCCTTTGGAAACTTTATTTTGGTCAGCCCTCTTGTCCACAGAGCTGCAGTGTGACTGTTAGATGTGACCACATCCGGCATGATGCAGTTTAGGACGGAGACTGTGCTACATACCATGTTTTTGGGCTTAGTTACGTCTGTCTGCTTCACAATTACATGTGTTGTGATGTACTGTTCTTCATACTCTAGAAAAATAAGGCACTTCAAAGTTCCGCATGTTACGAATTACCCCCAAGAGATAACTTCACAAGCTCACCGTTTACTGGTGAAAGTATCACCCCCTTGACGGTTTCACATGGTCTTTTCTGAATACCGTCGGCATTATTACTATTTTCGCGAGGGACATTTTTATCTCCCAATACCTGTTATCATTATTTAGTGAGAAAGCACCAAGTAACAAAGCAGGGCGGATGGGACCCCATCAATTCCCTCAAGGAAGAAAGCAGACATTTAATTAAGGCTAGGTCCCAATATCATCACAATGGACAATATATCATACTGCGTCCAGATAAACTAACTCTGTAATCATATAATGAGTTGATTAAAATATCGGAAGATACAGTAGTTTGATTAGGGCTCTTTGGACTAATTAGACTATGGCTATTGCGGCGCTAGTATGTAAGTAAGTTGTGAGAAACCCAAAGGGTATATCATGTTCATTCTTTCCAAGCGAGACTGAGAATTATAAAAGCTTTTTGTGTGGAACATTGTGTGTCTCACATGCTAGTGCTTTCTATTGATGTGTATGTAGTATTTTATGATATATATCAGATCTATCTTGGTGTTGACTCAGGCATATTTGAGTATGCTAAATACGTCATATTTTGAAATGAACACATCAAAGCGTTATGATATATGCATTAATTCTCTAGATATTGAGCGCTTAATTTCTAAGAAATTCTTTACCATTCGTGCAAGATTAGTTTTTCTCCTTTCTTTCTCATCCATTTATATTCCAGATATAAACAAAATTTCATTAGAAATTTTTTTGACATTCATAAATGATGTAGTTAATATCTTTGTCAAACTAAAGAAAAATCTCCTTTCGAAACTTGAAATTCTCTATTAAATTATTTGATGATTCTCAATATTTTTTTGCATAATAATATATATTATCACGAGATTATCTGATCTTTTTCAACAATAATCATTATTCAACTTACGATTTTTTTAGGAATTTTTTAGTGAATAATTATACATCTTTTATCATCTAAGTTTTAACTTTACAGAAATCATATTTACAACCTTTTGAAAAAATTAATATGATCATAATATGAAAAATCTATTATAACAAATGCTTCAATCTTGCATTTTTTACTGTGTACACAATACTCAATTTATCATCACATTTTCAAAATTCATGAAATAAAGGAAATTTAAATCAAACATAAACTTGCGGTGTATGATGCCTCTTAATTAATTTTGATTTTTCAAAAAACTCATTTCATTCTTTAAGAAAGCCTCAATCCTGGGCTTTGTTAACGTACCTGCTCTATTAAATCTCTCTTTTAATTAAAAGCTCTTTATCAAATATAACGCTTTGATTCAATAGGACGTTGTGTGTTAACGCAGTAGCTATCAGATTAGTCTACCTAGTAGTATGCGTTTGCACATGTAGGGTTTCTTGCATCAAGTTTATTTTTCTGTGAGATTTTGATTACATCTCATCGTCTTCAATATCTTGAAGACGATGTCAGAGTAAGCAGCATACGGTGTATGATATACGGTGATATGTATGAGTAAGCAGCATACGCTGTATACTGAGTAATCAGTTATTTGAAATGATTTTTGAAGAATGTCACATTACATGCCACAAAATCTATGAATCTGGTTTCAAAGAACTTTGGGAATCTAACCAGAATGAAAGAGTGGAGTAATTTGAAATTCAGGAACATGAGATAAATGACATAGTCTTTCTAGACGATAAAATTAAAAATTCGTTATTTTTATAAAACTTACTTTCCATAATAACACCATATTCAGAAAGGGCATAGTAGTACTACAATAATACAAGAGTGGATATTATATGTGGTTAGATTAGACATTGGACTTTACTCTACTTATTCTAGTGACGTTTTTTCTTTCTTTGCTTTGAGACTGAAATTTGAAGTAACTTGAAGAATTCATTTCAGATCTTCACCAAAAAAAAACCTTGAAATAATCTAGGAATTCAAATAAATATTTCTGGATCTAACTTGTAGCTTTAGTTTCATTAATTAGGTATAGTATTCACATCTAAAATATCATTAACTTGAAATACATCAAACCTTCAAAAGAAGTTGACAAATCAGACATCTCATATATCTTTAGCTAATAAGCAATAATTCAAGTGTTTTTCTTTCTTTACAACTTTTTGTTATAATTCTAATTTCTCGAATCAATTTTATATCCTACAATGAGCATTTAGTTTTTTAAACCTGAATTGTTATCAATAAATTACAAAAACATATAATGATTTATATTATCATTTTAAAAAAAATTATGGAAAAAAACTCTTTTACAAATACTGTCAAGAAAAAATTTGCAACATGACAATATGATGTTATTGACATATTACATGTGCATCTAAGGAAAAAATATCTATGGAGAAAAACTCTTTTGCACATACCGTCAAGAATTATTTAAATGAATAGTGTGTGTTTGTAGTCTAATTTTAAAAAGAATTTAAATCAGGAAAGAAATATTTATTTATGTTATTTTGATATGCTATTTTATATCATGCCACTAAATATTTTTATTATTCTAATCATATTATAAAAAATTCCATAAATTTGTTATTAAAATAGTTTCTCTTTTGAAATATCCAAAACGATATAAAATTCAATGCTAAACCGACATCACAAGAAAAATTTGTTCAAATTTATTTTATATATGATTCATTATGTTTTATCCTTATGCCGTTTATTTAAAAAATAAATTAAAATTACATTTATGAGAGTCAAAAATTCAAAAATTATGTCTTCTTCTAGTATTAACATTGTTATAATTAATATTTAAAACAAAAAAATTTAATTCAATCGATATTTTACCTGATAAGCACATCAAACAAATTTATATCAAGTTTGATATTAAATTATAAAAATGAATACATGTATATTTGTAATTCATAATCAGCTGATTTATACGATATACGCATGAACATTCATAATAAATTTTTTGTAAAGGAATATATCATTGCAACTAGGATATTTTCAAAAATTGCAAAATATTAAAACAGGAATATTTTTAGAATTTTAATTTTTAAAATATCCAGATTTATTTTTTTAAAATGAAACATCATTTTGAAATAAAAAATCTAAGTTTAAAATGTAGGCAAATGTCAATACCTTATATTAACATGTAGACAAATTGTAATAATTTTTCTGTTTGTCATGAGCCTATCAACGTTTCTCTTTTAAAAAATAATTAAATTTATTTACAATAAAATTAATTTGGTATTATGAGTGTCGATATATCAAATAAAAATTTTATTAAAAAAATTTAACAATTTATTTATAAAAAAATATGGACATTAAAAGAATGCAACAGATCTATCACTGTAAACAAAACTTGAACGGAAAAAAATTCAAATGGAA